AACAAACTTCCTAAAGACTAGGACAACTCCTTGATTTTTCTAACAATCCCTCCCTTAAACTGATGTTTCAACACAGTTTACTGAAGGTATCCGAAGTGCAAACACCAAGCATTTTTCTTAGCTTCTGAAACGCAGGAAACTTGAGAGACTTTGTTAAAATATCAGCAACTTGGTCTTCACTTCTGCAGTAAATTAGATCAATGGCTCCATCATTCGTGAGATCCCTCAAGAAATGATACTTCACATCTATATGTTTGCTTCGGCCATGCAGAACAGGATTTCTTGACAGCTTTATTGTTGAAGTGTTGTCACAATAAATTAGAGTAGGCTCATCTTCCTTGAACTGTAGCTCTTTGAGAATCTTCTTTAGCCAAATAGCTTGACAAGCACAAGCTGCTGCAGCAACAAATTCAGCTTCTGTAGTTGATAAAGTCACGATTGATTGCTTCCTTGATGACCATGAAACTGCTCCTGTCCCCATCATGAATACATACCCCGATGTGCTTTTCCGATCATCTGAATCTCCTGCGTAATCACTATCTGTAAAGCCATACAAATTTGATTTTTCTCCCTTCTTGTAGAACAGCCCAAACTCCTTAGTACCTTGCAAGTACCGAAAAATTCTTTTTGCAACCAAGAGATGAAGCTCTGTAGGACACTCCATGTACCTACTAATGACACTTACAGCATGCATTATATCAGGCCTTGTTGCAGTCAAATACATTAAACTCCCCACAATCTGCTTGTAAAGAGTGTTGTCGACCTTCGTTCCTCCATTATCTTTGTTTAGCTTTAAGCCAAACTCAGATGGTGTAGTCACAGGATTACAATCCTTCATTTGGAACCTGTCCAAGATTTCTCCCACGTACTTCTTTTGAGAAATAAAAATTCCCGTAGACGACTGCACTACTTCAATGCCAAGATAATAATGCATCATGCCAAGATCGGACATCTCAAATTCAACCATCATGGATTTCTTAAAACTTTCAAACATGGCTGTATTATTTCCAGTGTAGATTAAATCATCTACATATAAGCAAACAATAAGCATGTTCCCTCCTTCTTCACTTTTTATAAAAAGTGTATGTTCATAAGGACATTTTTGAAATCCTTCCTTCAAAAAATAAGTCTCTATGCGATTATACCAAGCTCGTGGAGCTTGTTTTAATCCATATAGAGCCTTTTTTAACCTATACACTTTATGTTCATTGCCAAGTTTCACAAAACCAGGAGGTTGATCAATGAATACCTCTTCTTTCAAATCTCCATGGAGGAATGCTGATTTCACGTCCAATTGGAAAATAGGCCATGAGTTTTGAGCTGCCAATGCAATTACCAATCTGATTGTGTCATGCCTTGCAACCGGAGCAAAGACTTCTTTGTAATCAACACCAAACTCTTGCTTGTAGCCCTTTAGCCACCAAGCGGGCTTTGTACTTGTCAACTTCACCATTCTCTTTCAGCTTTGTCTTGTAAACCCACTTTACACCAATTGTTTTGTGCCCTTCTAGAAGATCAGATAACTCCCATGTATCATTTTTCCTTATGGCTGCAATTTCTTCATCCATAGCCTTCCGCCATTTTGATTCTTTGACAGCATTTTCGAAAACTGTAGGATCACAGTCCGAAAATAGTGCAAAGTGAGTGAGTGCGTCTTCAGATTGATCAATTCCGGTTACATCATAGTCCGACATCCACGCCGGTCTTCTTCTGGCACGTTGAGGTCGTTCTTCTTCTTCGGTAGTTGCTGGAATTGGCTGCTGTTCATTCTCCACCAGCTGTTGTCTTCCATTTTCATTCTCTCCATCAAAAACAACAGGAATCTGTTGTTGAACACCATCATTGTTCCATGGCTAGAACTTCTCTTCATCAAAAACAACATCTCAACTGATAATGATTTTCTTGGTGCTAGGATTGTATAGTTTATAAGCTTTTGATTGATCACTAACACCAAGAAAAATGCATTTTTCTCCCTTATCATCTAGATTTCTCCTCTTCTCGTTTGGAATATGGGCATATGCAACACACCCAAAAATTCTGAAGTGACCCACCGCTGGTCTTCGTCCACTCCATGCTTCCTCCGGTGTTATATTTTGAACAACAAGAGTGGGACTTCTGTTCAAAATATGAATACTCCAATTTACTGCTTCAGGCCAAAAACTTTTTGGAACTCCACTTCTTAACAAAAGGCTTCGCACCATATTCATAATAGTGCGATTTTTCCTCTCACAAACGCCATTTTGCTGGGGCGTATAAGCTGCAGTAAGTTGCCTCTTGATTCCATGGGTCTCACAGAAATTTGCAAATTCATGTGAGTTATATTCTCCACCACGATCCGTGCGAAGAACTTTTATGAGCTGTCCAACCTCTTTCTCAACTAGAGCTTTGAAGCTTTTAAAGGCTGCAAAAGCTTCAGATTTTTCCTGCAACAAATAGACCCATATCTTCCTGCTATAATCATCAATGAAGGTAATTATGTATCTTTTACCTCCATTGGAACATGGAGTTATTGGCTCGCAAATGTCGGAATGAACAAGTTCCAATGCCTTCTTCGCTCTCCATGATTTCCCTTGTGAAAACTAATTACGGTGTTGTTTGCTAACAACATATTCTTCACAAACTTCAGAGGGAGCTGTGATTTGAGGAAGACCAATCACCATATCTTTCTGCTGTAGCGTCTTCAATCCACCAAAGTTTAGGTGGCCATAGCGAAAATGCCATAGCCATGCTGTATCCCTTAATTTTGCTGAGAAGCATGAGTGAGTGGTGTTGTTGAGATACAATGGAAACATTCGGTTGGCTGTCATGTTTACTTGAGCCACCAAGCCCAATTTTTCATCTACAATTCTGCAGACTCCGTTTTTGATAGAGATTCCATATCCCTTTTCTTGAAATTGACCAACACTGAGTAAATTTGTTCTCAAATCTGGAACAAAAAGGACATTAGAGATAGTTTGAATAGAATTTTTGTTGGTTTGAATTGCTACCTTTCCTTTTCCCATAACAGAGACTTTAGAATCATCACCAAACTTCACAACATCACGAAAGGCTTCGTCCAACTCAGAGAATGCAGACTTCTCTCCACACATATGGTTGCTGCAACCAGTGTCTAAGTACCACAGATTCTTGTGGGTTTCCTCTTTCACGTGACACACCATCAAAAGAGACACCTCTTCTTCCTTTTCTGCAAAGTTAGTTCTTTCTCCACTTTGTCTATTCAAATTAGTTTGACAATCCGACTGATAATGGCCATACCTATGACATCTGTAGCATTCAACATTGGACTTGTCTGCTGACTTTGGTCTAGTTGATTGATGGCCTCCACGTCCTCTTCCTCTTCCTTGAAATTGATTCTTTTGGTTATGGTTTTGTTGTAGATTTCCACGATCATTGTTGTCTCTGCCTCCTCTACCGCGACCTCTACCTCTTCCTTGTGCTCTATCAACTCTACTTGGTGTAGAGTGATTTTCAGATGAGACCTTCAATGCTTGTTCCTCTTTCTCCTGTTGGTTAATTGTTTGCTCATGAACCAACAAAGAGCTTTGCAATTCATCAATTGAAAGTTCATCAACATCATTAGATTCTTCTATAGAACAGACAACAAAATTAAATTTTGGTGTCATGGATCGAAGAATCTTCTCAACAATGGTGACATCCTCTGCCTTGTCTCCATAGATCCGCATCTTGTTGACGATTGCCATCGTTCTTGCAAAATAATCTGTCACCGACTCTCCTACTTTCATTCGAAGCATTTCAAACTCCGAACGAAATGCTTGAAGCTGCTGCCTCTTCGCTCTTGTTGTCCCTCGATACTTTTTCTTCATGGAATCCCAAATATGCTTGGAGGTATCCTTGCAAAGAATTGTTTCCAAGATGGAGCGATCAATAGCTTGGAAAAGATAATTCTTTGCCTTGAGATCTTTCAGCTTCAGTGCTTCAAGCTCCGACTTCTGTGCATCTGTCAGCACAACACCTTCGGCTGGTTCTGGTATTCCAGAAACAACCACCGGCCAGTATTCTTTGGATCGCAAGAAGTTCTCAATTAGCATGCTCCAATGATCATAGTGACCATCAAAGCGAGGAATGGATGGTTGCACAAAATTTTCTGAAGCCATCGATCTTGTCTGCTACTGCAAAAGAAAAAAGGTGATAGAGAAATAGAACTGCTGCTATATCACTCTCTATCTCACTTTTTCACTCGGAGGCTTTGATACCACTGTTACACAATAAAGAAGAGATATACTTTTATGCACAATAAGAGCTAGAAAGAGTATATTAATCTGCTACTTATATTGATAAACCAAACAACCATTATATAGGCAAGTAAACAAACTGATAGTAGCAGGAAAAACAGGAACTACTAAAGCATGAAATTAGGAACTGCAGTGACTGCATAGCAGGCTCAACTTTCTCCTAAAACTAAGCCAAAGTAGGCCATGTACAGCAACTAACTAGGAACAACAATAAACAAACTTCCTAAAGACTAAGACAACTCCTTGATTTTTCTAACAAATATTAATCATGTAAAATTATTTGGGTTGTGTGAGATTGAAATTGGAGATGTTGGTAGCAATATTATTTGATATCAGTCAATATATAATTATATTATTAATATCGATACACATTTGGATTTTTTTTTTTAAACTATTGTTGTTGGTGAAGTTTTTTTTCTATTTTTTTTAACCAAAAATGACGGTAGGTCTTGGGTGGGCCTGGTGGGCCGAGTCTTGAGTAGGCTTTGAATGAGCTAATGGACTAAGCTTTGAAGCAGGCTTAATGGGCCAAGCTTCGAAACAGATGGCCTAGGCCCAAGTCCAAAGTCTCATGCTGGGCTCAAACCTGAAACTGGTCCAAACCCCAAGCGCACATCAAGTGAGCCACTTGTCGATGAGCTAAATTTACACCCTACAGCATACACTAAAGTAAAATTTATCACGAAACATCAAATAATTGATAATGTGATAAGATGAACATGAGGTTGAAATTTCCAACCCCACTCCACAGTTTTTGCCTGGAAGCTGCGAGGAAATTTGTCACATATACATGTTGATCATCACGGTTGACGCTTGACTCGTTGATTTCTCTCTCTCTCTCTCTCTCTCTCTCTCTCTCTCTCTGTCCAATAATTGTGCTGTTTAATTTTCAAACCTACCAAATATTCCTATTCATCTACGTCCCCAAATATTTCTATTTAGCTCTTCGAGCTTGTTCCTCTTCTCAATCCACAACTCCTTTGCTAAGTCATGTATTCATCAAACCCAACTGCTGATCAGAAACATGTGGCTTCTCCACCGAAGGGGTCATCGGCAGCATCAATGCCATACGGCGAACCCGCAAGTGGGATTCCGGTATCTTACACGAACCAACAGCCTCCAGTTCAACCTCTACGATCCAAACCTAAGGTCCCTTGGTCTACCGGACTCTGCGATTGCTTCGACGACGTTCCCAACTGTATGTTAGTTAATATATGATGATAGATATTAATAAATATTCTAATACTGTTATTTAAAATTTTGACAGGCTGTCTAAAGAGTTGTTGATGGAAAATTAAGAACTTTATTTATTAGTACTCTAATTTTATGTATTTATTTATTTATTTTGGGCAGGTTGCATAACTTGTTGGTGTCCATGCATTACTTTCGGGCAGATTGCAGAGATTGTAGACAAAGGATCAACATGTAAGTAGTAGTGGAGGAGATAGTCGATCATAATTTTGTTTGGGTGATTATATTAAGGGTTAATTACACTTTTTCATTTGATCTATAAGAGATTGAGATAGATTGAGAGAGCAAATATTAGCTCTGTGTTTTTTGATGTGTATTGCAACCAAATGGAGCCTCCATTATATAGGAGATGATTTACAAGACAAAATGATTCGGATTGGACTGAAATTGGTGGCGTTGGAATCGTCTGGAGGAGACGAAGGCTCTGGTGTGGTGAAAACTTGATTTCAGAGATGGACGAAAAAGGGATACAGATGAAATGCAGTCTGCAGAAAAAATTGTTGGAAGAAGAGGCTAGGCAGAAAACCTGTGCTCTGATACCATAAAAGAGATTGAGATAGATTGAGAGAGCAAATATTAGCTCTGTGTTTTTTGATGTGTATTGCAACCAAATGGAGCCTCCATTATATAGGAGATGATTTACAAGACAAAATGATGAACCAATGAAATATACAAATGAAAGCAAAAGGAAAAGAAGGTGTAAAGAAGATGTCTATCTGCCAACAACTATTGCTAGGCTAGCAACAACGAGCTACAGATCAATTACAGATCACTAGAGTATTAAATTATAGGTATAGTATTATAGTAGTAAATTATAGGTATAGTATTATAGGTATAGTATTAACATGATCTAAATTTGATTTTAATTTATATAATTTTAAATTAAATAATTTAGCCTATAAACTTTAAAAACTATATCAATTTAGTTTTCAATTCAAATTTTTATTAGTTTTTTCTGTGCGTTACTTTAAAAAATTGACAAGTGTTCCAAAGTTGTTAAGTTTAGGATATAGATTCTCTCGAGTTCAAAATCTTAATTTGACTGTCATGTTAGGGTCATGTGGCCCATCACAGGTCCTGTTTCAATAATCTAAATTATTCATTTTGTAGAATTTTCGTATATATCATTTCTTAAAAAAATTAGATTGATCTGATAATCAGAACATTTTTATTTTATTACATTTGTCTCAAGAAAAAATCGATAGTCTATTTATTAAAATATACTCATCGTTGATTTTTCGAAGACAAATGTGATAAAATAAAAAGGTTATGATTATCGGATAATTTTTTTTTTTTTTTTTAATAATATACATGAAAGACTTTACAAAATGAACAGTTTGGATCATCGAAATGAGACATGTGATGGGCTCCACAAGGTCTAACATGACGGTCAAGTTTAGATTTTGAATTAGAAAGAAGCCTAATACTTAATTTTAGCGTTGAATTTGAACGAAAAAATTAAATTAGTACTAGACTAAACTATAAATATTAAATTGTTGAATTGAAAGATTAAAGAAAAATTTAATTCAAGTCACATAAATGGAAGTGTAATTAACCCTTATATTAATCATGTAAAATTATTTGTCTTGTGTGCGATTAAAATTGGAGATATTGATAGCAATATTATTTAATATCAGTTAATATATAATCATATTATTAATACCGATACATATCTGGAATTGTTTTTGGTGGGCAGCATGTGGAGCAAGTGGAGCGCTATATACACTAATAGCGTGCGTGACCGGGTGTCCATGTTGCTACTCGTGCTTTTATCGTGCAAAAATGAGACAGCAATACGTGTTGCATGAAACCCCTTGTTGTGATTGCTTGGTTCATTGCTGCTGCGAGTCCTGTGCCTTGTGTCAAGAGTACCGTGAGCTCAAAAACAGGGGATTCGACATGTCTGTTGGTAATTCTCTCTCTCTCTCTCTATAGCCTCTACAAGAAAATTAACAAGAAAAAAATGTTATAAACCCTAAAAATTCTACAAAAAAATTCTATCAAATATTTCACACGGGTATGGGACCCGCATGTAACGCACGTTATGTAGGTCTCACACCTATATGAGGCATTTGGTAGAATTTTTAGAATTTCTAACATTTCTAATTTTTTTTAGTAACAAAAATAATACATTCCGTAATTTTGGAACTCTAAACAGAGCTTTAATGACTTGATAATGAAAAAATAAATAAATAAATCAAAACACAAACATCACATTATTGTGGAGCTCGCACACCATTAGAGCTCTCTACTGCTCTTCCTCTTAAGCTCCCAATCTTTTTTTTATTTTAGTAAAATAGTATTACTGATAGGTAAAGGCTTCACTCCAAATTGGGTATCCATCCGAGAGGTGGTGTTAGGTTCGTGGGTATGTGATTAAAATCGTTTATTTTTATAAGGTTTTTAAAAATATCATTTTTGAAAAAAATATTAAGTTGATCTTTAATCGGACTCTATATAATCTGATCATGTTTGTCTTTAAAATAATAATAATAATAATTAACGACAATTATAATTTTGAGAATAAATAGTTCTTTTTTAATACAAGTGTGATCTAATCGTGTAACAAGCGATATCCAATCATCTTGATTTTTATATTGATACTCTGCTCAATAAGCTTTAAAAAATAAATAATTTGAATTATTGAAAATGAGTCTTTAAATGAGTCCACCAAGCCTAGTAGTGTCTCTCCACTTGGATGATCAGTTGGAGAAAATCCAAATTCCATATATATGTTGCTTTATATGTCTTGTTTTGATTAGTGTTGATGGTGTTTTGTTGGATTTGGAAAACAAAAAATTAGGTTGGCACGGGAATGCGGAGAGACAGTATCGTGAGATGGAGATGGCACCAGTGAGCGAACAAGGGATGAGCAGATAAAGTGAGAGATTATCTTGGATCAGTGAACTAGGAAATTCTCTTTATTAAGATTGTATTTGAATATTAAATTTGTGAAAATATATGTGGAGAAAAACTAAATGAGAAAGAAAAATGTATGAAGTAGAAGCTCAATTTTGTTCACTTTTTCTTTCTCAAAGTATTTTCTCCGCATTTTTTTTTTTCAATTTCAATAATTCAAACCCGATATAAAAATTATAAAATATGAACCAATGTATAATAGATATTAAATGTAACTGTGACAATATGTGTGTGGCATGAGACATTATCATATGGTAACTATTAGTGAAAAACTTTAAATAAATTTGGGACAGTGAGATGATATTTATTATGATAAAATTGAAATATTTTTTTATCTGATATTTGAATTTGAATTTTATTTTTGTTATCTAATAATTTTCTCTTTCACAGAGTCCTGTAAAATATTCTAAAAATACTATTGAAAACACATTTTTTATTTCTTAATGGGAAAGGTAATAGACACCACACCTCCAAAGCATTCACTGTAAGTCACATATGTTTGATAATTGGCTAAAATAAATTTTTTTTTTTAAATCAGAAAATCAATACTGTTTATACATTTTTTTCATAAAAAAATCAAAAAATTACTAAAACAAGCAAATCTTCAAACAAACCCTAAAATAGAAATGGAAAATAGCCTTGGATTGGACCTTTGATTATGGAAACCAGAGGAACCATTCTTATTGCAAAGAATCAATGACGTGTGCATATGAAATTTGTGACTGTAGCAACCACTACACAAAATCAATCAGACAAAAATTTCAGGACAAAACCCTAACCCTCTGCTAGGTGGAGAAGGAAAATTCCTCATCCACACAAATTCACTTTGCACATAATAACCACGATATTACAAAACAAAAAAATAGTCAACATCACCAAGCCACATAATCAACTAGTTTCATAAATTACAAAATGACTCCAAAACTTTATAATTTTAGAGTAAAATTTAGCTTCTACCTGTAACACTTTATGAGACCCTCAATCTAGATATCAGAGTTTAGAAATCGAATCTAGGAAAATTTTAGACATAGAAATTCAATGTTTAATGCATGATATAATAGATGTAAAAAAAATTTATACATCTTGATCATAGAAATAGTAAAACTGAAACCACATAACTATTAGATATTCTAATGGATGTAAGTAAAGAAACTTTAAATGTTTACAGAAATCAAAATATCATAATTACTGAAGTATCTAAAGAGTTAAGAGAAATAAAAGAAATTTCTCTTAAAAATCAAAAACATAATTTTATTAAGAAAATTGAAACTTCTTTTATGGTTATTGAACAAACGGCAAAAAAGATGAAAAAGATCAGAATGGTAGCAGTATATCCACACCAAAAAATCCTTTAGAAGGAATATCCTCAAAAGATTTTCAAAAATATTTGAATCTATATATTGATAATTATGAAAAAAAAAAAAACCGTTTAAAAATTCAATAAGCAATTCTATTGACCCAGCCGAGTTAAAAGAATAACATTATCAATCAAAAGAAAAGTCAAAATATCCAAATCAAATAAAGCATTTGGAAAGTTTAATTTTTGGATAAATCTCAATTTTATGAATATCTTTGGCGATAATGAAAAAAAAAATCTTCTAAAAAGAAAATAAAGTTAAGAAAAAGAGAACCATTAAAGACTAATATAAAATATAACTTTATTTATAAAGCTGCAAAAAATGAGCGTGTTACTAAATATGAAATATATCTTGATCTCAACTACATAATTAACATAGAAGAGGTTATAGATACTTGGGCTCAAATAGTAAGAATTATTGTAGCGGGACAAGCTATAGACACCAATGGTCTAAATACTTTTGTAAAAACTACTCCAAGAGGTCAAGTTGTAAAATTTTGGAATACTCTATCAGCTAATAATAATAATAATAATATAAGAGCTCAATGGTTGGCATTAACTACTGTTGAAGAGAGTATTATGTTTATGGTAGATAAGTTTAAACAAGAATTTTGTGGAACAACCCTTAGCCAATTGAGAATTCAAAAAAAAAAAAATTGCATTTATAAATCTAACTAAGATATGAATATGTGATATGTGCTATTTTAAAAATTAAGTTTGTGAATATAAAAAATGGTTATATAAACTAGACCTAAAAGATATTATTCATTGCCGAAAACAATTTATAAAAACTTCCTAAACCATGGGATGAATTATCTCAAAAAGAGTTTGAAAGGCTATTAAAAAGGTATCAAATATGTGATTCTTTAGGTAGAAGTGTGGCACCCCAAAAATTTTGAAACATCAAAGGAAATTAAATAAACAAAATGACTTATTAAATTAAAAACTTTCAGTTCTCATACAACCAAAAATTTAAACAACACTAAATAAAAACTTAAAAAGTCCATATAGAACATTAAACAACGTTATAAAGTTTTTAATTATTAATACATAAGATAATAAAATTTTATTTCACTATAGTCGTGACTTCAATTTAGCCAAGGCTCTATATTAGTGTCAAATCCATTTTCAGCTTCCATTCCTTCCTCGTCAAAATCGTGCATAAAACGTTAAGGCAACAAAACATATGCCATGAGTTTTGTAATACAGTAAGAAAACACAACAAACCTATCTTTCTTTTTTAAAAAAAATAATGAGATTAATAATCATGACATTTAAGATAAAATAACGAGATTATAAACATGATATAACAATACAACAAATATTAAAATAATTTCAACAATTTTAATAATTTAGGTAGCACTCAAAATCTCACCACAAAGATTTAACTTACCAACTATTAAGTCATACCCATGATTAATTTGAAAAACCCTACTGGTCAAATATTCAAGTGTTATGAACTATAACTACCAAGGACGTCCACACCCTGAGTTACATACCTAAGTCGTGACATCTGTGGTCTGTCCCAAGGGAACAGTCTACCAGGTATACGTAACTTCCATGTGTGCTACTTGCACATCCATCCTTATTCCAAAATCGAACCAATAAGGGTTCAAATAAATCTCGTGCTATCTTAGGATTTCACGACATAAAATATGTAAAACTTCTCAAAACCAGGACTCACCCTGAACAACCAGTATTAACCGTCAATCGTTAATTTCGTACATACAATTAATCATTTTACTTAATGTTCATAATAATCACAAATAATTATAAAATTAACTCACCATTAATGTTATACCATTTTATTACAATTTTCAACAGAAAATATTAACACATACATTCTATAATAATCAATCAATGTACAAAATTATGGTAAACAGTTAAATCAAGCCATAGTGTAAAATAATAATTTTAGATACGTAAAATGAATCACAACCACCCAGATGTATGAACCTCTAATTTACAAGATCTAATTAAATAGACTAGCACAACACTTATTTTTAGTTCTAATGAATAATTGAAATGGTAATCTTGGTTCTTTAATATTCTGTCCATAATTTTCAAAACATAATTTTCATAATTAAAATTACAAATAAATTATTTAGAAAATTCTAAAATTCATATAATTCTCTGAAATGTTCAACAAATATGTTATGGTCATTTTGAAGAAAGAATTTTGCAAAAATATGTTATAAATAATTCTATAAAATTACAAGAAATTACAACAAACAGATTCGTCACATTTTTTTAAAATAATTCCACACTGAAATTTATAAATCAAATCCACAATCTAAAAATTGAGTATGAGATTAGACTTCTCAAATTCTATTTTTAAATTAGAAAATACCAGATTTGGTCTAATATAAGAGTTTTAGTGATTTTTCAAACATGCAGTAGAATTTGTCTTAAATTTCATATTTAATTAAAATTTCATACAAATCCTTACAAAGCTAGAATAATTGATACAAATATTTTTAGATGAATTAGACATCATTCTTAGTAACTTTGTAGAAAAAATCATCTCAAAATTTTAAATATAAAATTATCTAAACATTCGTACAAGATTTTGATAGATTTAAGAAATCATATTATCAAACCAAATAAAATCTTCAAATGTCTATTTAATGTGAAATTGGACAAATAAAAAGAATGAGATAGTAATAGGATTGAAATGAGATAATGAAATGATAAAAAAAATTCTAACCTTCCTTTATATTCTAACCTTCCTTTTTCTTCTTCTCTTCTTCCTATACCAAAGCTCTGGATTATTTTATTTTTATTTGTTTTTAACTTCCACCCTCTCTGATGAGTGAGTAAGAGAACGGCATGGTCATATATAGCATTCCTACCTACACCCTACCTGAGCTCTCTCTCTCTCTCTCTCTCTCTCTCTCTCTCTCTCTCTCTCACACACACACACACACACACACACACACACCAATACAAATCTTCATCATTTCAATTATATTTTAAGGCCTATTTGTAGATTTACAGTCCAGTTGGTGGGTTAATTAACCAACATTTTTTTTTTTTAATGATAAATTTGTATAATTTTATATTTGCGGGGGTTTCTTAAAAACAATTAATTAAGATTTTCAGTTAAGATATTTAGCAAAGGAAATTATCAAGTTGAACCACTGTCACAAATAGTTACAAACGATAAGTATTGAATACCCACAAAATTATTATTCTTAGTAATATTTTTGTTTGTGATTTAAATTGGAATAGTTTTTACCTAATTTACACAATATTGATTTTATTAAATAATTTAGATAAGATTAAATTTATTATTCAGATAACATAATGCATTTATAAGAATAATTAAATATGGGTTCTCATAGAAAGAATAGCTTCTGTGTGAGAAATTATAAAGAAATATTGTGCAGAATAACAAATTATAAAATATATGAAAAAAGCATATATGGATTATAGATGGTTAAAAACAAAAAGTATGGTAGAAGGCTATGGTTGTGATAAGAAATCCAAACCATTGGTTAAGAGAAAAAAAATAGAAAAAATTTCAGAAAAATAAAATATAATCCTGATAAAGAAAAATAAAAACTTTGGGGTAGATATATTAGAAAGAAATCTAATAAATTCACAAAAATTAAAATGCTTCATTGTCTAAAAGGAAAATCTCCGGAAGAAAATATGACATAGGTGGACCCACAAAGGCTATTGGCCCCCCACTTAGAGCCCAATACATGATCCAAACATTAAGGCCCAACATTACTGAAACTCAGCATAACACCAAGAACCAATGGTATCTAAACACTTGTCAAGAGGAGAACCAGCCACATAAGCAGATAAAGATCTTGTAAAGTTATTGCACCACACACCAGCCATTAATGAGGTCCCCTACAACATTTAATGTAACAACCCCCTCACGATAGGACAGAAAACGGCCTCACCATGAATAATGCAAGCGGGAGTATAGACTTTT